TCAGAAGAATGGCACATGGGAAGTAGCAACCCTTCCTAAAGGACAAAAGGCAATTGGCGTAAAATGGGTGTATAAAGTGAAGAAAAATGCCGATGGAAAAGTGGAAAGAAACAAAGCAAGACTCGTTGCGAAAGGCTACAGTCAGAAGCATGGCATTGACTATGATGAGGTATTTGCTCCTGTAGCTCGTTTGGAAACTATTCGTTTGATTATTTCCTTGGCAGCTCAAAATAAATGGAAAATTTATCAAATGGATGTTAAGTCCGCTTTCTTGAATGGCTATCTTGAGGAAGAAGTGTATGTTCAGCAACCTTTGGGCTATGTTGTCAAAGGACATGAAGATAAGGTCTTGAAGTTGAAGAAGGCTTTGTATGGATTAAAGCAAGCACCAAGGGCTTGGTATAGTCGCATTGACAAATATTTTCAAGATCATGGATTCATCAAGTGTCCACATGAGTATGCTCTATATGTCAAAGAAGATCAAGCTGGAGGTTTTATGCTCGTATGTTTGTATGTCGACGATTTGATCTTCACCGGCAACAATGTAAAAATGTTTGAAGAATTTAAGAAGGTGATGGCTCAAGAGTTCGAGATGACCGATATTGGGCTTATGTCGTACTATCTTGGAATTGAGGTGAAGCACGTTGATGGTGGTATCTACATTTCTCAAGAAGCTTATGCAAAGAAAATTCTTCAGAAATTCAAAATGGAGAAATGTAAGCCGGTGAGCACTCCCATCGAATGTGGAGCAAAGATGTCAAGGTTTGATGAAAGTAAGAAGGTGGATGCGTCTCTTTATAGAAGCCTTATTGGAAGTTTGAGGTATTTAACTTGCACAAGACCCGATATCCTCTATAGTGTTAGTCTTGTTAGTCGATACATGGAAGCACCTACCGAGAATCACATGAAGATGGCCAAGAGGGTACTTCGATACATAAAAGGTACTCTTGATTATGGTTTAATTTATTCTCCTGCTAGAAACTTCAAGCTTCATGGATATTGTGATAGTGATTGGGGTGGTGATGTTGATGATCGAAAAAGCACCACCGGTTTCTTATTTTTCTTGGGTGATACTGCATTTACTTGGAGTTCAAAAAAGCAGCAAATTGTGACTCTTTCAACTTGTAAAGCCGAGTATGTATCTGCTGCATCATGTGTATGTCATGCAATATGGCTAAGAAAGTTGTTGAAGATGCTTCACATGCCAGAAGAGGTTGCTACCACAATTTATGTTGACAACAAGTCTGCTATTGCTTTGGGAAAGAATCCCATTTTTCATGATCGAACCAAGCACATAGACACAAAATTTCACTTCATAAGAGAGTGCATTGAGAAGAAAGAAGTGAAGCTTGCATATGTGAAGACCAATGATCAAATTGCCGACATCTTCACTAAGGCATTGAAGTTTGAAGATTTTGCAAGATTGCGTGCTTCGATTGGAGTCACTAGATATAATCAAGTTTAAGGGAGAATGTTGAAAATTAAACTTGATTCATGAATCTAGGTGCATTATTCTAAGATTGGTATTATCCGTGTACTTCTTCCTAGGTGCATTGATGTAGTTCATGTATGTGTCATGCATTTAATTAGTCCATTTAGATTTTCAAGATTCATGTACTACAAAGTTCTAGGAGTTTTATGAGGTCTTATTAAATGCATATAATGTACGAAGGGTCTCTATGTACCTATAAAAGGGCTTGAGATTGAATCATTTTATAGAGCCAAGCCACAAAAATATCAAAGAGTATTCTAAGTATTCTCTTGTGTTCCTTTCTCTCAACTTCCCATTTTCAACAAAGTATCGTCCGAGGAAAGTGACCCGGAAGAGATTCCTAGTACGATAGTGGACTAAGGAGGATCAATAGATGTGGGAAGACTTGTTAGGGAATCGGGGTGGCTTCTTTTTGTGTATACCGTGATGATGGACTTGAGACAGTAGCATTTGTTATGTAGGATCTTTGTTAATCCTAGTGGGAGCCAGTACCTTTTTGAGTCCTCCCGTCTTTTGTGAATCGTTAGTTCCGTCTCCGCCCTTTTACTTAAATGTTTTAATGAATTAGTAAGATCTTCCCTCTCCACTTTATATAATGTGTTGTGTAAATATGTTAATTCAAGCTACAAGTGCTGACCTTAATCGCACGCTACCTTCCGTTTGCGATGTAAGAATTCAGAAAAGATTAAAGAAACCTGTTAGTTGTATCCGGGACGTTACATCCACTCTCCAAAGATAATCGCTCACGCAGAGAAAAATCTCATATATTTTCATTTATCAAAGTCTTCTGCATTACAACGGAGGACTCTCCTCTATTTATAGGAAACTAAGACTCAGGAAATAAACAAACATTAAAGAGACATGGGACTATCCAACCATTTGAGGAATTGGGAACTAGGAAGCATTCAAATACCTCTGAACTAAGGACTTTGACTCTTGACACTCACATAACAGTTGAGACCTAGGAACTTAGAAATACATTGATAATGCATGGAAACTTGAAATCTTGATCCTTGTGGTTTATCTTCCAAAATTTTTCCACCATCTTTAACCAACCAATAGTCACTTTAATAAATTAGCAAATGTCATAAGAAATTGCTTTAAATAACTCTCATAGATATATTGTTGATTAATTTTGCATTCAGCAAGTATTATTGGTGTACTGATAACCTTATCGGTAACTCGGTCGAAAGTCCCTTTGTTGATGATCCACCGAAGTATGTTATGACCGAAATCTACCTTTACTTGAATGAACATCGCAAGTCAAATGCTCCCGCGTCAAGAGTGTAAATATGAGAGGTGATGAGTGAAGTCGCACCAAATAGTCATCATTCAAGATGGAATTTTATTCACAACAACGATCTAAACGATGAAAAAGAAAAACAGTTTTCCTACGCTCTAAGTTATGTAGTTTCTTCTAAGTATATTTGCAATAGCACTCATTGGATCCAACTCTACAAGCCTTCTCGCAAGACACACCCATAGGAAACTTACACTCGATGCAAGCCTTGTTGCAGTAGGTGAACTTTGAACACGGCCCTATGTCCGCTCTTCAAATCGTTCCCTTCTTGACCTCCCTCGTAGCTAATCTTTCCGAGATACACATGAATTCAAGAAACATTAAAAATCAAAACAATACAAAACATCTATTGTTTTGAATAGAACAAAATGTCCCCTGAGCCTTCGGATCAGATACGGGTCTTGAGCATAGTCAAAACTGAAGGAGAATGAACCTATTACACATTTGCTAATTCTATCCTAAACCTTTTAATTTTTCCAATTGTATAATATTTGGACATTTTGACTAAAAAAATAAAAAGGGGTTGAAAATTCAACAAAAGAAAGAAAGTGGACAGTGCTTTATAAAAGGAAAAGCAAGGAAGAGAGAGAAAGAGAGTGGCTGAGAGCTCACTTGTGCAAGAAGAGGAAAAAGAGCACGCACTTACCACGGGAGTCTCACCAAGCTGGTGTTACTTCATATTGCAACGCCCGATAAGTATTCGCACCCCTTGTTCGTGCAATTGGAGTATTTTTTTGGAATTAGGGCACAATTTTGGAGTTTGTGAACATCAAACTGCGTAATCCGATTTTTGAGTCAATAAACTGCATATAATATATATATATATATATATATATATATATATATTTATAGAATTTGTAGTTTAGGATGTTGTAGGGCCGTGGGATTTTGTGGAACTCGATTTGGACTTATAGTTTGCCTGATATGAATTTTTGAAGTTGGCCGCAAGTGATGAACAGTGTGCGACAGCAGCTTTATATGCCAATTTTCATCGCCTTTTGGCCCGAGTTTGGGTTGGCCAAGTTGGAGTTATTGTAGTTCTTTGAATGGGCTTTGTTTTGACGATATGCTTGCTTGAAATGGGGTTCGATGGAGAGAGCTATGACCAAGTTTTGCGCTCAAGCTCCACGTTGCGATCGGTTTTGAATAATCGCTATGGACAAGAGATTTGTGGGCACTTTTTAGTCATTATGTTAGCGTCTAAGCCTAGTTTAGCCGAGTCGTAGTCGAGGTAGTGTTTCACTCGATTTTAATGTTGTTTCTCGCTTATTTGATAGGATTGCAACTTTGACGGTTCAAGTAATCTTTGTTGTTTAATTGTAACTATTCCCAGGTGAGTGGGGCTATCTTTTCTTTAAGTTTATAAACTCATATTTTGAAAGTGATAAGGATTTGAGTATCGTATGAGTTGTTATAATGCTGTTTGTTGCATAAAAATATGGATCGGACATTTACTATATTTTGGTATTTGTAAATGGCTTAAGATATGTTTTAGGAATGGTGTTGCAAAACGAGGTATATATATTGATTTGTGAACTTGGTTTATGAAATGGGTATGTGAAATGTATTATGGTTTAAGAAACGAGTTCTCGAATGATTTGAGAAATACTTTATGAAAAGGATTTTGGTGGTTGAGTTGAGTTGTGAAATGTCACATACTTGGTTTGTGAAGTGTATTCCAATTGATGAACGAAATTGACAAAGATTATGTGCTTTGTTTTGTAAAAGTAATTGGTGATATTAATTGTGGATTTGATTGCTGGAGGATGTGTGTTTTGTGCTCAATATCACTGTGAACCCATTGAAGGGTTTAGGGGTATGCATACTGAGTTAGGATATCTTTCTAAGCTGAGCCATCGGCTTTATATGTCACGCCCCGAACCCCATCGAGCACGCGGCACACTTCTCTGGTCGAATAATGCGACATCCCAGGGTATCGCCGACCCAATTTAACTTATCAGAGATTTATATCCATCAGCAAAAGCCACAATCAATACCCGGAGAATAAGAACTGGGGTAAACATGGGAGATTAACCACATCCATTACTGATTCAAATTTATACAATATCCACAATTTACAAACCACAATATATACAAGCACACCGAACTTCTGCCCTATATACCACCAACGTCAAAAAGGATCGATAGCCTGGGTATCCTATCATAAAAAATGGTACACTTCCAAAAACCTATACCTAAATCCCTACTCTAACTCCTATGCCCTCTGCTTGGTGTCCACTCAGAATCTGACTCCTCGGCCTCTGAATCTGAGTCCCTCTGAACTGTCGGCTCCTTTGAGGACTCCGACTCAGCCTCGATCTCAATTGGGTTATTAATATCACCCAACTCCGCTGGAACCTCGACTCGCTCCTCCTCGACTGGCTCATCATCTGACTCGTCCTCCGGCACAAACTCGGGATCGTACTCTGGGACATACTCTGGCTCGTACCATGGCTCGTCCTCGGGTATGTCCTCCAGTTCTTCTTCAAGCTCGTCTTCTGGGGCCTCTTCAGGTTCTGCCTCAGGTTCTTCTTCTTATGGTTCTTCCTCTGGGATCACCTCAAGATCCACGTCCATTAGATCATACCCCGCCTGGGACTCTTCCGGCTCCGAGTCATGCTCGGCCCCCAAGGGCTCAGGTGCTGCAGGCGCAGGCTGAAGTCCTGACTGCACTAGACTAGTCTCCAAACTAGTCATCTCGCCATCCGGAGGAGGTATGGCTGATGGATCCCAGTCCCCAACTTCGTCAAAGGGGACATCGAAACCACGGATGGGGCCAAACTCATATACCCCGTCCCGGAAGAACCAAGCGGTATAGGTATAAACCTGCCAAAGGGGTAACCCTACGTCTACCCAAACTATTGTCGTATGCTTAACCCAGGCCATATTATCATCCATCGGGTACTCTACAACATTGTGGTTGATGTGCATCGGTACTCCAAAACGCTCAAGTGGCGGCGATGGGGGATTCATTGCTCAGGTCGGGGTTCTGAAATTGTTGGTTGAACAACCATGAGATTACATCTCAATAAGCACACACCCTAAACCCCACCTATGCTATCACGTAATTCGCAGGCACACAATTTATACTTACCTGGGCCTTTCCTGCGTGCGACCTGCACGTTAGCCACAGTAGTATAATTTCCAATCACATGCACGTTCTAATTACATTTCACGCACTCATTCCTGCCTAATCACATTATTTCCACACAACTCGCTAGTGACCCGCGTAATGGTACTGCCTCAGGTTCACTGCGACCATCCCACACTCGCCTCGCCAGTGACCCGCGTAGTAGTACCGCCTCAGGTTCACTGCGACTAACAAATGCTCAACTCGCCAGTGACCCGCGTAGTAGTACCGCCTCAGGTTCACTGCGACTAACAAATGCTCAACTCGCCAGTGACCCGCGTAGTAGTACCGCCTCAGGTTCACTGCGACTAACTCATGCTCAACTCGCCAGTGACCCGCGTAGTAGTACCGCCTCAGGTTCACTACGACTAACTCATAACAACACTTCAGGGCCCGCGTAATGGTACCGCCTCAGGCCGTGTATCTTGCCCACGCAGTGGTACCGCCTCAGGCTCAACACTCACCACCTACTACACAATCCGCGTAATGGTACCGCCTAAGGTTGGCCGTCCTCCGGTAATACCGGGCATCGTCCCGCATAGTCGTACCGCCTTAGGACGGATCAATTCCCCGCGTAATGATACCGCCTCAGGGATTTTTGTAACCACATGTACCGCACAACACACACTTTCTCACTAGTTCACAAGTTCAACACCCACATGCCAACATATTGGCCATTCACACTTGGCCCGTGCACGCATCAAACCACGCATTTCTCAAGCTCAATAAAACCCCAACACGACCAATTGACAGTCAATTTCAATTCGGCCCAGGCGTGCACATAACGAAGCACATTTCAAACAATCAAGTCATGGTACAACAAACATACAAGGCCACTCACAGGCCCACAAACACAGCCACATAATGAGCACCATTTCAGCATTTCCACACACATTTCAAGCCATAACAAACATCACATTCCAGCCACCGTACCGTGCACCAAACCGACACTATTTGCCCTTAAATCGAGCCAAATACTCGTCATTACGAGTCCCAATTTCCAGCATTCAATTCGGCGTCAATTCGGCCTTGAAACGTCACAATTTCAACCTCAAATCAGCCCATACCAATCCTCAAACCGATCCACTAAATTAATTCCCAAAACAGCCCCTAATTTAACCAAAACTGCATCTAATTAAGTCCGATTCCACCCCTAATTGCGTCTATCGATACCCGACATCCTAAATAGAGTTAGGGCACGACTTACTCGAACTCTAGACTGGCTCGGCTAGAGTGGGAAGGGGGAACGACTGATCGGCGGCTCACGGCGGCACACAGTGGCGGTGAGCGGCTCAGCGACGGCGGCGGTTGGCTGGACGGCAGGCGGTGGCAAGCGGCGTCCTTGGCCGCGGTTCACTCACGGCCACGGGAGGGGAGAGAGATGGACAGCGTGAGGGTGGTGGTGTCACGGTTCGGTGATGGGACGGTAATGGCACGGCGGACGGACGGTGGTTGGCGAGCGACGGCGCAGCAAGGGGGAGGGGCGGTCAGTCGGTGAGGGGGAGAGGGAGAGTGAGCCGAGAGAGGAGGTGAGAGAGTGAGGAGAGAGAGAAATTTGGCCTAAATAGTCCTAGGCCAATAATTGAATTACCAAAAGACTATCATGCCTCTCTCTCACAATCCAAATCAACGGCCTAGATTCGATCTTATCTTGGGATCGACGGCCGAGATCAAATCTTTTCCAAAATATCCAAGGGCAATTTGGGAATTTCTCAAAAAGTTGAAGGGCAAAATTGTCCAAAAATCTCTAATTCTAAGGCTAGGGAGAAATTACCAAAATGCCCTTCCCAAATTACATTGGCCTTAACAAATCTCCAGGGGTAAAATGGTCATTTTCCATTTCTCGCCGAAATTCAATTTTTCTGAAGGATTCGGACAAATCCGAGGCTAACCGAGCAAATGACAACATCGTCCAAATGATCCGTCGTGACTTTCCAAATTTCCAATGCCCAACTTGGTCTCTAATTAATGCATGAGTTCTGAATAACGTAACTTGCGCATATCTCGTACTAACGGGTGGCTTTTGGGGAAATTCGCGTTATTGACCTGTGGCCGATGCTAAATCAAGACACGTACAAGTTCACTCGGGTCGTGACGACCTCGGTTGTCACTTAATCGCGAGGATCGATCGCTAGATCCGACTAGCACGATCGTTTGGTATAGGTTTGGGTCATTCGTCAATTTATTTCGTGGTCAAGCGGAATCACCCGCGATCCACTAATATGACAGCAGCGAATTGATCCCTGACTATCCTTGGATCGGCCTTCATTGGCTCAAAATGTCACCTCGACAATTTTGATGGTCGAAAGTCGGTTCACGATCGAGTTTTTTGGTCGCGCGAATTTAAATCCCTAATTAGCCTTTCCCTAACGGTTAGTATTCCCGAAGTGATCAATTCCGGGCGAGATCTAACTACAAGCACGTCCATAAACTATTCACTTCATAAATCTCAAGTGAGTTGGATTTAAGAATATCACATTATAGATGGAGACCTTGCCAAGGAGGGAATTTTGATAGCCTTGTTACAAGGCGTTGTATCATAACCATGGTTTGATATTGAGCAATAGATTGGTCGACGGAATTGACCTATGTGATTTATCAATAGAATAAATCATTGATGTGTGATTTCAGATTAGTCAATGGAATCAACGACATGGTTTTTAATAGAGATTGATCAAGGACTTGACCATTGATGTTGTTTTGTTATGGTGATTAAATGAATATTTCTGGCTTATATAAAGTTTTGAGGAAATAAAACGACTCGTATTTTGTTTGATATACATATATTAAAGAGTTGGATTATGAGTTTTTGGTATAGCTTTATGTATACATGCATAGTAGTTGCTCGATTTGCTTAGAAGAGATATGAACTACTTACTGAGCTGTGGTTGCTCACCCCCCTCTTTCTCTTATATTTTCAGGTTTCTTGATTAGTAGCTAATAAAGCGAGAGCGATATCATGGGGATTTTTGGGAGTTTGTTCTTTGGTTTTCAGGCAGTGTCCTTTAGGTAGAAAGATGGCTGTGTCATCCCCGATCTGGTAGGTTTCGAGGTGTAACAAATTGAGTCCTAAGCTTTTTAAAAATTTGTATTTTGGCCGGAAAATTGTTGATGTGAATGCTAGCCATCTTGCGTGACATGGGTGGTATTGATGTCGAAATTTTCATTATTGTTTAAAAAAATTTCAACTTTTTTTATTAATTTTTTATTTTTTTCCTCCTTCCTATGTTGATTGCCCAGCCTCAACAATAGCCAACAACTGGCCAGAGGCTACGACTAGCGAGGCTCGCCCTTGCCAGCCTTAGCGAGGTCACCCTCACCAACACCGAGCAAGGCTCAATCCGGCAAAGGTAGGCCTAGCTAGCTTTGGGCGAGGCTTGACCTCACCGGATCTGGCATGAGCGAGGCTCGCCCAAGGTCGGCGAGGTCGCCCCTCGCCTGTTTCACGTGAGGTCAAGCCTCACCCTTGCTAGCCTTCATCAAGGCTCAACCTTGCTGCATTTAGCGAGGGTGAGCCTCGCCCAAGGTTGGTGTGGTGGTTCTTGGCTAGATCCTGACGAGGGACCTTCCACAAGGCTGGGCAATCAACAATGGAAGAAGGAGAAAAAAAAAAAGAAAGGAAAGAAAAGAAAAGTATAAGAAATTAATAATAAATTAAAAAATATTTAAAATAATTATTAAAATTAGTCGACATCAACGCCGATCATGCCACATAGGACGGCGAATATCTATGTCAGTAATTTCTGGTTAAAATTGGTCGAATGGACTATATTGACAAATTTTTAAAAGGTTTAGGACTCAACTGATAAAATTATAAGGTTTACGACTAAAATGACGAAAGTACAATAAGTTTAGGACCTTTTAGAAAGCGTCCCTTGAGCCTTCGGATCATATAGGGGTACCGAGCATGGTCAAAACTAAAGCAGAACAAACTTGACGAAGGCTTAAGAAACAAAATATAGCATTACCTGCAAAGCAAAGAGAAATGAGGCAAAGCTTGCCTATGAATAAAGAAACGCTTCCTGAAGCCATTTCGATGATCTTCTCTTCTCACACTTATTTAGATTATAATTGTATTGGTCGTGAAGAATTACACAGAATCCAAACTAGGCAATTCGAGCATCACCTTAACAGCCACCTCACATGTATTGCAGATCTTGTATAATAATAGGATCTCATTGAGTTCCTTTTATGGCAAAACCTATAAACAATAGAATCACGCCTTGAATGATATTAATGTGGAAGATAGAAGAGAATACCATTGAATATTTAATGGGATGCACTTCCCCATAAAACAAAAAGGTAGCAGCTAGCATGACCGTCTTAGAATGATGGTGTGACGGTCAAAAAGGTCAGCCACAAAAATTATTTCGAGGAAACCACCAAACTTCCTCAATCAGTTTCAATTTTTACTCTATGTTTCCTTTCTCTCTCCTTTTTTTTTTTTGACTTCTATGTTTCCCTATTGCAAAGCTCAAATTGAGAGACAAAATCATAAAATGACCCACATAATCAATTTTCTTGAATATGAAGAAAGAAAAACTAAATTTGATGTCAAAATATAAATAATTACAAGTAGAAAAATATTATGACGTACTAAAAAGAAATTGTTAATGTCATTATATAGTTTCAAGTTAAGTCGTGTAGTGTCTCGTTCGGATTTCTATCACTAAAGTGATGTTGTGTTCGAGTTGTGTTCTCCAAAGAGGTGATCTGTATGCGGTTCGACTAGTTCAACCGGTAAAACGACTCAAACCGACCATTTCAAGAGGTGAGCTAAAGTTATATCATAGCCAATATTCATAACAAAATGCACATAAATAACAGCGTTGTGGCACAGCAAAGCTGATAATAGCTTTTAATGGCCTTTAACTTCATAAATCTTTCTAAAAATGAGAAATAAATTGACTTCATATCTGTATGATTTCTAAATTGCCTTTCATCCATCCGTGCACGAGCTTGAAACTATGGTCCACGCAATATCTTCTTTATTTTACAAAGTCAGAAATTCCAATTTTCAACGTAAGGGCAACACTGCCCTGACTGACTTCGGCTGGTGTAACCGGCACCCGGTAGAGTCAGCTGGACCGGTCCGGTTTTGAAAACACTGGATTTTACGTGAGTCCCGCCAGATCAGATGACCCACAATTTAGTATATGTACTATGCCCGCAAAATATCATGTTCGGAATAGAGAGCGAGCGCGTTTTACAATTCCTTCTTTATTTTTCACTGCGTTTGATTCCCAGGAAGGTGTCATGGGAGGAAGATGTAAATGCTTTGGTTAGTCAACACAGTTTATTAATTTCTTCTTAGAATTCTGAAACTCCATTGGGAATGTCCAAACCCAGTCCATGTGGACCGTCACGCTACAAATGAATCTAGCAAGGACAACTTGAAGGGCAATAATGTGTAGATGGATTGCAAATATGATTGCGTGAATAATATGTTTGGCAATGAAGGCATTGCAAATGGATCTCGTGACATATCATCTTAACACTATATGGAGGCGAACGTTTGCAATTCTAGTTTCGGGATAACTACAAAAAAAATCTAAAACCTATAATACGGATGCCAATTCAATTCTAAATTTTACAATTGACTCAATTTAGTCCTAAACATTTTGACGATTTGACAATGTAATCTAGTTCTCTTGACTAATTTTGGCCAGCAATCGCTAATGTGGCAGTCCATTTATACCTGGGTCCTAACACTCTGAACCGGGACCTTCGCAGCCCCAACAAGGCTCCCTAACCAGTCTGCCGATATCGTAACCGAGTCTTTTCTCGAAATTGTAATTCATAGTTTCCGATAAAAGAAAATATCGAAAATAACTTCCATTAAATAACTTCCATTATCTTTGCACATGACAATTAAACATAAGAAAATCAAACAAATTTCCAAGAAACACACGGAGCTAGGCATTGCATCTTCTCGATTAGGTGACGACACTCAGATCGAATCACGTAAATCTGGTGCCATTTATGTTTCTAGTTCTCTCTTGTAGTAGCAACTCCTGCTACCACAAGCAATTAAGAAGACTAAGCAGTTTCCGATGTTACAAATCGAGAAGATCCGTTGCTTATAAAACGAGAAGATTTACTATCCGTGTTGCTATAAAACATTACACTTGCCTTAGTTCATCAAAATTCTGATTTTTCTTGGACTACTTCGCCACGACAACAATTATTACAAGCAATTGTAATTTGAGGTCGCGCAGGTGTCAAAATGGCAACAGCGTTTCACAACATTGACATTTTCATAGTTTATGAATGGTCGTGTACTTGAAAATTTCTTGATTTCAAAATTGATCTTGTGAAGATTGAACTAAAATTTGTGCCTCCAATATAGTTCATCTTTCTTGAAGTAATACCAAGAATAGGCATTAAATTGCGGGAAGGGAGAGCTTATAGGATCCCAACAGTTAAGATATAAGTCTACAACTATAGATTAGATTGTAGCAATATCATGTACACATTGCAAGATTGCAAAGTTTGTAAAAACCTTCATCAACTAATAAAGAGAAAAGAAGAAACATGAACGTAGGAGTGTAAGGGAAGCTATGAGTCAAGTTGCACCAAACAGACATTATTAATTGAAGAAAGTTGAATGGAGGATGGGAATTTATTCATAACTATTTGAACCACGAGAACAAATAGTTTTACTTGGCTTAGACTTACGCGATTTCATCTACTAACCACTACAAATGCAGAACGACCCCGAATCGCCAGTCACGCAATTCCCTCCAAGATAATACCCCCTTCCCACGCAAGTCTTGTAGCAGCCGTCCACGAACTGTGAACACGGCCCAATGTTCTTATGCTCAATTGGTGGCTCCGGGACCTCCCTCGCAACTGAAGTTTCTGAGATACACAAGAACGCAAGAAATCAACGTAAGACATCCCCCAAACAAGTAGTTAAACAGTTCGCTTTATGTGTCTCAACCGAGGTCTAAACTGAAACAGAACGAATGAAGGCTTATGAAGCAGAAGCTAGCATTACCTGCGAAGTACAGAGAAATGAAGCAGAGAAGACCTATGAACAAACAAACCCTTCCGGAAGCCATTCTGATGACCTTCTTTTCTCACTTTTCTTTAGGTTATGATGGTATAGTTGGCTGTGGAAAATTACACAAAATCCCATCCCATATATAAGCAATTCGATCATTTGGAAATTACCTCCGTTTGGATAAGTTAAACCATGTCATTTGGAAAGTTCATAAATCAAATTCCATTGATTAATTATGGACCATATAAGCCCGACAGAGAATTCTTTAAAGGCGTAAGATTATTTCCATAAATTGCCTCCGTTTGGATAAGTTTTTCCATGTCATTTGGAAAGTTCATAAATCAAATTCCATTGAATAATTATGGACCATATAAGCCCGACAGAGAATTCTTTAAAGGCGTAAGATTATTTCCATAAATTGCCTCCGTTTGGATGAGATTTCCCAAGTCATTTGGAAAGTTCTTAAATCAAATTCCATAGAATATGTACCTTCCAGATATGCGCGACAGAGAATTCTTTGAGGGCATAAGACTATTTCCATATAAATTGCCTGCGTTTGGATACGTTTCTCCATGTCATTTGGAAAGTTCTTAAATCAATTTCCATTGAATATGTATTTTATGGAATATTGCCTTTTATAAACTTTCCCAGAATTCTTCATTTTTCATTTTTTGGGGGGTTCAGGTGTAGAGCCACCTCGTGGCCGATGCCCCTCATTATCGACGATGCCGCAACACCCACGCGCCAACACCCGCACCGCGCTCCCCCCCCCCTCTGTCTTATAGTTAAGGTCGTAGCTCACGGCCGCGTGACTTGGTTACACTTTGAAGACATTGTGCAATAAAGTCTCCAATCATACTGGATACATTCCTCCGTTGTCACGCCCCGAACCCCATCGAGCACGCAACATCTCTCTTCGGTCGAATAATGCGACGTCCCAGGAACATCGCCGATCTAACCCAACACATCAGAGTTCGAACAAGGCGGAAACGAGAACATAAACCCTGACAATAAAATCATGGGGTAATAGGGAAAGACAAATCACCACCCGCCAAGCACTATATTACACTGTGATATTTTTACAATATCCAATACAATCCATCATATACAACAACCAACCACTTCATACACCCACCACATTCACAATAAAACTATTAAGCATACCGGCTTCTAAAATTTACACCGCTAACATCAAAAGAGACCAGTAGTCTGGGTGCAAACTAACTCCAAAAAGGGTACTTCAAAAATGATCACCCTACCCTCAGCTAACCCCTACAAACTCTAGATGATGTCCACTCCGAGTCGGTCTCCTCCGAACTTGAATCTGACTCCCCCTGATTCACTTGCTCCTCTGACGACTCAAAATCTACCTCAATCTCGATCGGATTATCTATAGGGTATTCTACTACTGCATGGTCGATGTGCATTGGGATACCAAAATGCTGCGGCAACGGCGGTAGATTCATGACTCAGGACGGGGTTCTGAAATAATTTGGTTACGCAACCATGAGACAACTCTCAATAAGTTGACAGCCTAAATCCCACTTAAGCTACCACGTATCTCCAGACAGGTCCAAACACACAATCACTCAATACATACGTATCACACACAAATGGACTTACCTGGGCTCAACCTGCACATTAGTCTCAAATACACAAATTTCAAACCACATGCACATTTCAAGCCATTCTCATGCCCAAAAGTACACGTCGTACACACAACAATTCCGAACCCCATATTTCACACTCATTCATGCACTAACACACCAATTTCATTTTCCATCTTTTTCCTCGGCCCACGTAAACACGCCTCAGGCCCGATCTCACTTTCCACTTGCCACATCACACGTTCCTATCGCGACCCGCGTAAACACGCCTCAGGCCCGATCTCACTTTCCACTTGCCACATCACACGTTCCTATCGCGACCTGCGTAAACACGCCTCAGGCCCGATCACATTCTCACTTGCCACATCACACATTTCACTTTCAATCTCTTTCCACGGCCCGTGTAAACACGCCTCCGTCCCCACATTTGTATCACGACCCGCGTAAACATGCCTCAGGCCGTTCAATTCCCCGTGTAAACACGCCTCAGGGATTAAGTGATCACGCGAATATGCCAACACGCCATATTTTATCTATACCCCGCGTAAACACGCCTCAGGGCTTTTTAGTGATCACACGCACATCACAAGCCTCAAATCTCACACGTTCACATACTCGAACATTAATTAAATGCACCCAAAGGCACCTAATTCAACCATTTCAATTCAGTCCCTAGAACATACAAACACACATTCAAGCATCAATTCCAGTCATGAGGGCAGCAACTATTCAACCTCGACACCCCCACCATTCCGCTCATAAAAATGAACATCCATAGAATCAGAGTAAATCTGGACAGTTTACACAGTGACCGAAATCCCATCAAAATAAATAGTAAACGAACTCTAAAAATTCTAAATTTTGGATATATCATAAAAAAACATCTTGATAAACATTTCTTATGAAGAACACGAAATCCAGTTTAATCTGTAACCATGCTTTTTCGTCCCTCGAAACTAGACCAGAATCAGTTCGCTCTAACAGACTGTTTTGTCCACAAAATACATTGCTTTCAACACCAAAATCACCTTGAAAAGCTTTGAAATTTTTATATGTCATAGAAAAGAAAGTCCCCAACAACTTTTGTGAAGAAATTTTATTGAAAATAGATCTGGAAAATTTTATAAAAATTCGACAAGACAAGAAGGTCGGGATGAATAGTATTCCGGGCAGTTTTAATACGGTTTGAAAATGGGTTTTCGTGCGACCCAAATGGCCTCCAAAAATTCCAAATTTAAAATATGTTGTACTTCAAGATGTTGGGAGCAACTTTCATGAATAAAACTTTCTCAAATTCGGCCCACACAATTCTCCACAAAAATGGAAAACCGGACGGGTACAGTAACCACGAATTCGAGAATCACACCAAACCTCAAGGATTCAAACCCTAATTGATTTCTACCGAATTTCAACTGCCAAAACTCATTCCAACATGTCCAAACTATCATCCAACAGCCACATGAACATCCATGAACACAACAAGGGATCAAGCTCTCCTCTAATCCATCTATAATCACTTCCATCAGCCCCTAAAACCGACTAAACCGTGTCTAAACTAGTCCGTTAATACCCGATATTCTAAATAGGGTTTAGATTGTAACTTACTTGGAATCCTAAGCGCGTCCAAGTAAAAGAGAGAGAGTGATGAGCTGGTGGCCACGCGGTGGCAGCGGCCGTCGGGCTGAACAGCGGCGATCGGCGATGGCGGACGGTGGCCGGCACGGCAGCGGCACGGCCAAGGGGGAGAGGAGGCGGTCGGTCGGTAGGGGAGGGGAGAGAGAGAGAGTGAGCCGTGAGAGGGGGAAAGAATGAGGAGAGAGAGAGAGAGAGAGAGAGAAAATGGCTTAATATACTCCAATAATTGTCCCCCTTTTGGTCAAATGACCATCTTGCCCCTCTCTCTACTTTTTAGTCTACGGCCATGATTCGTTCTTATCTTGAGATCAACGGCCGAGATCGAATCTTTTCCAAAAATATCTAAGGGTAAAATGAGAATTTCACAAAAATCTAAGGGCAAAATTGTCCAAAAATTATCATTTCTAAAGTGAGGGTAAAATTACCAAAATGCCCTTCTCCATTTACACTTGGCCTCAACAAACTTCCAGGGGTAAAACGGTCATTTTCCATTTCTCGCCGAAATTTGATTTTTCTGAAGGATTCGGACAATTCTAAGGCTGATCAGGCTAATAACAACGTCGTCCAAATGTTCTGTTGTGACTTTCTAAATTTTCAATGCCCAACTTGGTCTCTAATTAATGACTAAATTTTAAATAACGTAACTTGAGCATATCTCAGACTAATGGGTGGCTTTTGGGGAAATTCGCACTTTTGACCCGTGGCCGATACTGAATCAAGCCACGTTCAAGTTCACTCGGGTCGTGACGACCTCGGTGGTCACTTAATCGCGAGGATCGATCGCTAGTTTCGACGAGCACGATCGTTTGGTATAGGTTTAGGGTCATTCGTCAGTTCATCTCGTGGTCAAGCGGAATCACCCGCAATCCACTAATATTACAGCGGCGAATTGATCCCTAACTATCCTTGGATCGGCCTGCATTGGCTCAAAATGTCACCTCGACAATTCTATGATCAAAAGTCAATTCACGATCGAGTTTCTTTGGCCTCGCGAATTTAAATCCCCAATTAGCCTTTCCCTAACGATTAGTATCCCAGGAATGATCAGTTCCGGGCAAGATCTAACTACAAATACGTTCATAAAATCATCCATTTCATAAATCCCAAGTCGGTAAAATTTCAGAATGTCACATCTGTCCATAAATTACTCACTGATTGTCGCTTGCGAATACTTTCCCAATCATTGACTTCTATTTATATGGCAGCAAAATTTATTTTTGCAGACGAAAGGTGCGGTGCTCCAAACATTGAGTGACGTGCATCGTTGTTTAGAAGGCGAATAGTCCTTCCGACGTGAAGCATGGAAAGACTTGTTTGTGAGCTTAGACAAGAGTAAACTTGTCCTTGCTCATTGTGTTTGTCGCAACCTCCCCAAAGCTCATTAAACAACCACAAAGGTTGGGGACACTTCGAGGGATTTAGAGGCGTTACCCATAAGACGGTCCAAATGGTCCATCATTTAAGAGCGTTGGCTCTCCCAGGCCATTATCTCTATTTTTTAGTTTTTTTAAGCTTATGGATTTCTAGGAGTCACCACTAGCCATTTGGGTTCGGCTAGAAACCAAATGAGATGCGAGAGGTTCGTCTAATTTTCTACGCAATTGATTACGCTGATGTTACTATTAGTGCCCTTTCGGTACCACTAAATTGAAAAGTTTTTATGCAAATGGTCATTCATGGTTTTTATCAATTGTGATTCTATAGGTATCGATGCCACTAAGTGATCATGAAAATGTTCTTGATGTTGGTCGCAATAAACTACACCCAAGATCACCATAGCTAGAACATAGAACACATTAATCGAGTAAAAGGAATTTGCACACCTAATTTAAAATCCATCGTTCTTGATGTGGAATAGCGATAA